GATGCAAACTCAAGGCAATAGTTACTCCTAGATATGTGGTTGTATAATTAGAGCTTCTGTTTTTTTTAATGAAAGGTGTTCCACCCTTGTTCCATCTTTTTTGTTATAGCTATCTGCCTGCATATGCAAATGGCTATTTACTCCCATAACCCCACGGACCTAACACCGAGTTTACCTGCAGGTCCTAGTGAATTATGCACGATCCTCGAAAGAGGCTGAAGCAGTCTCCGAAGAGGTGAGCTGGTTAATTAAAACATAATATTGGCATATATATTTTGTTTAATATCTGTTTGCCTGTTTGTTAAATTGCATCATACAGTTAGAAGATATACAAAGACACAGTAACTGGTGATTGCCGTAAGGATTATTAAATAGTTGTTTCAGTCGGCAGTGCAGCTAGATCAGATATTTTCCTTGCTGAACTTTTCTCAGCAACTTGAGATATTTTAGTCTGCATTGTTCTTTCATGGTTGGCCTCGTGCAGGAATGCATACAATTTAGTATCGTTTCTGACCTCCTATCCGAGTAAGCAACAACACAGTTGTGCTGAATTTCCGTTCTCATTTATGATCAAGTAAACAGCACCCTTGTGTTATCACTTTCAGAAACCATCCAATGCAATGTGAAATATAGTCATTGGGTATTAGTTTCAATAAATTTCATTGGCCCATTGTAATTTCGTTTTTAGACTAGTGTATGATAACAATAATAGTTCACAAAAGCTAAAAGAAATAAATTGTAATTCTCTAATGTCGATTCACAACATCCAGATTTCCATTTTGCATAAACGAAAGTTTATAGCTATTTTAGCTCAGTTATGATTTGAAATTTGGTGATAGTTATCTACCTAAAAATATATGGATACCAGCATTCAGAAAAACGTTATTGGTTTCCGGAGAGGTATCTAGTTTTTTTGTTTATTAAATTACTTCCTTTTTCTTCATTTTTCTCTTTGCTAAGCCTAAATGCACTGATATATTTATAACATAATGCTATTTTTTCAGATTGAAGCATCTGGTGGTCAGGCTATTACCTTTGGAGGAGATGTTTCTAAAGAAGCTGATGTAGAATCTATGATGAAAGCAGTAAGTGCAATTTTTTCATGGATGAAAAATGTTTTTCCTTTTACCTATATATTGATCAGATTATATAAACTCGGTTATGATTAGTTTATGTATTTTACCAGGCTCTTGATAAATGGGGAACAATTGACATCCTGGTAAATAATGCAGGTAGGCACCAATGGTTAGTTTGCACCAGTTTAGTGTTCTCTTCTGTTTTTTTTTCTGTATGTGAAATAACATTCTGTAAACAGGGATTACGAGGGATACATTGTTGATGAGGATGAAGAAATCTCAGTGGCAAGATGTAATTGATCTAAATCTTACTGGTGTTTTCCTCTGTACACAGGTAGGGTTTTGCCCCTTTATTTGTTCTTTAATTTTTTGAAAATTTTGCTACTTGAATTATGTTTATGCTTCTTACACCTGCACATTACAGGCTGCCACAAAAGTAATGATGAAGAAGAAAAAGGTATATTTTTTGTTTCATTCTTTGAATTGGTTTGAACAATTTTGCTACCATGGGTTACTTCATTGGAGTTTAACTTTTCTTTTTTGGTATGCATTAGCTACCGGTCCTATTAAGAATATACTGCAAATACATACGACATATTTTGTCCATTGTTCAATAGATGTGTTCATTACTTTGCGCACTCTCTGATATGCAACTTTTGGCCTCTAATTTTTACATGAATATACATAGAGAATATATTGTGAAGTCATTATTCATGGCAAACATAATGGTACTGTTACCACCTACCAAACATTTTTTTTCCGCTAGTTGTCAATGTCGGAGAAGTTTGACTGCACTCTTTCTGAAGTGTCATCTATTTTTAGAACAAAGTTAGTATGAAAAATATGAGCTTGTAGTATATTATTAGGGTGTGTTTGGTTCCAGAACCAAGTGGAATGCCATGGAACCGTTCCATTCCTAAGGAATGGAATGATTCCATCTTGGTGTTTGGCTAGAAGAGAAGGTAGGATGGAACCAAAATTTGATGCGACGCCCGGACTTGAGGAAGAACGCCAAATTGACCACGACGGGTGGCATGACCTGGGCGTCAAGGTCAATTTGGACAGCGGCCTGACCTGAGTCTCTGGCCCTCTCGTATCTCCCCACGGCGGCCCGGTAGAGAGGCCGCACGGCCCAGCTTTCCGCCTTGCTGACGCGGAACGGCGGGGGCTTGGTGGCGTAGAACTCGGGGCGGTGGTCACCGGATGGATTTCTGCAGCCTCCTGGAGGAGATGGCCGGCTACTTGCACCGCCTCCACGCGCAGGTGCAGCTCAAGCGCGGTGTCTGGCTGGATACGATGCTCCCGGCGGTGCAGGACCGTGGCTCCTGACGCTTGGAGTGGCTGCTCCTGACGGCGCACGAGGCCATGGTGGCAATGGGCGAGGAGGGGAGGTCGTGGGAGCGAGCTGTTCCGCGTGGTCCGCTCGGAACGGCATAAACACGGAATATGCCGTTCGCTGGAATCGGTCGGCTCCGGTTCCTTTGACGATCCAAACTTGGGAATGTGCCCTGGGGACAGAACTGATCCTTGCCGTTCCACTTCATGACAGAAACCTAACACACCCTTAGATCTACACTTAAGTTCTGTCATGCTTCAAATAGCAAGTCGCCAAGTCTCCGTTGACCCCCAGACCCCTCTCCTCAGTTACAAGCTTACATTGTTTTAGTTCAGGACTAAGCTTAATTTCTTAGCTGAAGGAAAAGGAAGGCCTCCTTACATTGGTTTATTGTGTTTCTGAGCTGAAAGATAAAAATTATAAGGCCTTACCATGTTGCTAGTGCATGAGCTATGTGTATGCCTGTAAAGAGCCTGTAAAAAGAGCTACACTGCCAAAGTAAGAGTAGTAGTTTGTTCCTTTTAGTTAGGACTTGGGATACTTTTTTTCTTGCTCTGACATAAAATAAGCTCTGCGCAGAAGGCACCTCATTAAATTTTCTTTTATCGGTTGTAAGATGCTTATTTTATGTTTAATGCAGGGAAGAGTCATCAACATAGCATCAGTTGTTGGTCTTACTGGCAATGCTGGCCAAGCTAATTACAGTGCTGCCAAGGCTGGAGTCATTGGTTTCACTAAAACAGTTGCTAGGGAATATGCAAGCAGGAATATCAATGTGCACTCTCTGTCTTTTCATCATTAGCTCATAAATAAATCATAAAATTGTAAGCCAACTTCTGAATAGTTGTGAATACTCAGGTGAATGCAATCGCACCTGGATTCATAGCATCAGACATGACCGCGGAACTTGGAGAGGAGGTTGAGAAGAGAATCTTGTCGACTATTCCCTTGGGTATGCATCTTAAGCTGTAACCTCTGATTAAATAGCATTGCTCACATTCTGCTCCATTGTTCATACATCGTAGGTATAGCGAAAGAAAAAAAAACCCTTTGGAAAAACCTAAATGTTATGTTATGTACGTGTGTGTGTGTGTGTGTGTGTGCTCATGTGCACTGTATCTACCAAGTGAATGTTTTCAGTCAGCACTAATGCCTCATTCAACTTCTTCACAGGGAGGTATGGCCAGCCAGAGGAAGTTGCTGGGTTGGTTGAGTTCTTGGCCCTGAATCCCGCGGCCAGCTACATCACTGGACAGGTTGGTGCAACTTAGACGCTGTTTGTGTCATTTGGTTATATGAATTCTGAAATTTGACAGGTTTATTATTGAACTATCTCTTGGCAGGTGCTTACCATCGATGGTGGGATGGTAATGTGAAACCTTTGAGCAAGTTTGATGGAAGGTTGACATTTGCCCTGTGTAGCGGACGTTTTAGTAATTTGCATCGAACAATTTTGAGCTGTAGATTTAGGTTTCCTTTTTCGAACTTTGTAATCCCATGTAGAATAAATCAGGTGTGACCATGTGGGGAAGTTCAGATGTGTTATGTCTTCAGCATCCTTTTTACTATTTCTCCGTTGGTTTTCAGACCAATTTTCGAAGATCTGTAGGTTGCTGGATGGTTATTTTCTGTTTTTATAAAGGTGAGGTATGCAGTGAAAACGCCCATTCAGTGAAGACTTAAAAACTATTGTTGTAGGCCATCGGATCGCGATCAGAGGTGGGAATTCCACAAGCCACTTTACAGTTGTGCTGAAACCGCCCTACTAACAATAATTTGCTGAAGAGGAAATATCCCCTTCCTAGTTGTTTTCCACCGCCCTCCAGAGGCCGCGTGATTCAACGGCCACTGGCGCCGCAACTGCCGGCCACTGACAGTGGCGCCGCAACTGCACCCTTGCACCGTCCACCGCGTGATTCAACGGCCACTGAGTGGTGCCGCAACCGCAACCCCAACCCCGGCAATGACAACATGCGCTGGTGGCGCGGCGCTCGCCCCACGCAACGACGACCTGATAGCCATGGTGATGCCCTCGCGCGACAGCAGCCTCCGTGGCCCGACGCATGGGGCAACATTAACTAAGGAATATTAAGGCGCTTCTTTTAATAAAGAATCAAAAAAAAACAAAAGTAAATTGTGAATATATAAACTCCATAAATTGCAGTCATCCTTGGAGAGTATCCATTTATTGTTTGTTGAAACGAAAGGGCTTGCCCCCCTGCCCCAACTTTGTATTAAAAAAGCAAAGGCAACCAAAGCAAACTGTTTAACAGCTCTCGGCTCCAGCCAAAGGTAGCTCCAGCAGACTTATTACAAGGCGAAGTGCACTAAAAGTCTGAAACATACTAGAGCGAGTCTAAGCGAAAAGCTCTTTTGGTGCACGACATCTAGTGGTATGCTTATTTGCACCACATCTTTGCATGTGGATCGCCATAGCGCATTTATGAACCAATGTATAACAACGCAGCGGTTCTTTTACAGCAGGTAGTATATCATGGGTGAGGCACATGGTTTGGTACTGGATTCGTTCACTAGTAGTAGCAAATGTTCCACGATCCACCCCTTAGTATGGCGAAATCTGGCACTGGTATTAACTTGGACCAAACCTGGCACACATTACCTGCTCGGCTGCTTGCACATCGGGTCCTGGTTGGGGCATGCACTCAATCAATGCGTGCCGCTGCCTACTAGTCTGGCCCCACACGATATGTCTCCCCACAGCACCAACACATAAATTCTTGCGCATCCAATAATTTTGATTAGTTCACGACAAACAGTCATTTGGCTCATCATAGTATTGTAGATCTTGCCCTCGCATAATGACTGATCGTGGATGCCGCGCATTTTTTAACAATCCTCCCGTAGTACATGCACTGCGCGCTAAACATGTTTAGCCAGTGTTTTAGTGCGTCGATAGGATGAACTAAGAGTTTGATTTATTTAGCCAGCGCTTGAGCCAATTCCACTTTCACGAGCTCGTAGCATTCTTTGTTTTGTCTAGTCTGTTCCGCCCGACGCACCAGCAGTACGCCTCATTTACTGTTCTTCTCTCCCTTCATCAGCACCCACCTACCCATAGGAGCTCACTCTGTGTTGAAGAACAAGATGACCATGGATCCGCGCCGCACACCAGCCGCCCATAAGGCTCGCGATCCATAGCCCCCGTTCTCGGCGC